CCCTCTTCTTCCTCGGTGGGATCTCCACCGGAGTATTCTTCTCCGCCTCAGGGCCTTCTACTGCGGCCACGACCATGTTGCTGACTGGAGTAGACGATTGTGATGCAACAGCTGAAAAACGACCGGGGATGTGGAGCAGACATTGTGAGCAGCATTCGTACTAGATTTCCTCTTCTTCGCCTCGCTTCGTTGTTGTTGTACCTCTTGCCGTAGTTTCTTATTCAACTCCTTATGCTGGGCCTGCAGCTGCATCCTCTGCTCAGCCTCAATCACTGAATTACGCTTCCGCCGTCCACTGGCTGGAGTCTAAAAATGGAGACGATCAGGGCACAGGTTCGATCCCCGGTGAAGGCATTATTGAATATCCAAGCCTGCGGCCTCACCCCAGTATCGCCGTCAAGCTGTGCGGCCTGCTTCCCTAATTCCTCCGCTTTCTTGAAGGAGTCGAAGGTAATAGACGGATGGTGGTTGACCATACTAGCTCCGCTCAAGGGTGTGGTCGGAATGGAAGACTTACCTAAAACGCTCCGTGCCCCCAGCAGACCTCGTGCCAAGGGCTACTACTTGATTTCGGCTTCGGCTCTGGTTCCACCTCCTCCCGAGTATCCAACCACTGACGATAAACTCTCGGGTCCACCTACAACAACGTGCGTGAAAAAACACCTCAAACGGACTAAATCACGCATTTTTTCGGCTTACCGCTTTGATATCCTTCTTCTTCCGAAACCAGTCGTCGAGAATAATGTACGAGTCACGGCGGCTCTTAGTAAAACCTGAGCATCATCAACGACAATGGAAGGCACCATCTACATCCACCTCCTTTCAACTCACCTATCCATACCGCGTCATCTGTGTACTGCAAGTCGGGATTCTTGCTCCTAACCTCTTCGAAAACACCGTCCTTTTCAAAGTGCAACAACAAGAGATAGGCGTTTCGGCCTTTATTCTGGGTGCGCACGACACTGGCAACGTCCCTAAAAGCAGTCACACGTCAATCTATCGGACCCTACGATACTGATTACCATATAGAGTTGGAATCTTCTGAGACCTTCAATAGCCCATTCATGCGGCACGCGATACGGTCACCTTGTCGAG